AAAAATCGTTTCTCTGAACGGAAATACAAAGTGCTAAAATGATATATATCCAAACTCAGAGAAAAAACTCTTTCCCTCGTAATTTGAAGTCATGAAGAGACAACCAAACCCTATAATTGAAATACTTTAAGTAATTTTACAATAAATTTCTAACTTTTTATATATAATATGTACTTTGGATTTAAATTATATTTGTCGCGATCCAATTCGATGAGATAATAAATTTATTTGCTTATTAAGCCTAAATTATCAACCTCACATACTTAGTTTCAAGTGAATAATACTCAATTCATTTCTCATTTTTATAAAATATATTATGATCTCTCTCACTTTAGGGTTTAATATGATTATCAAAAACTAATAAGATTCATAATCAAATCCTAACATTGTACATATGTTATGATATATCCTTCCGTCCTACTAGGTTAATTTTGATACCATTTATCATGATTTGATTCTATAAAATAAAATAAAAAATTAATTAATTGAGTATGAATTAATAAATTTAAAATATCTAAACTAAAGTTAATGATAATAGACTCATTTAATTCTACAAGTCTATCCAAATAATTCCAAATTTAAAATATAGACTACGTGAGTTTACTATCATTAGCTTAAATTTCAGTAATTTAGACTCAATAAAATTAATGGATCAATTATATTATCATGTTATATAAAAAATAAAAATATTACCTCATCAAGTTATCATTTCAAAGTCTAAATTAAACAAATCTCTTTACTAATGTCACAATCACTGTTTTAAAATCATCTTTAATCTACACCAAAATTGATGATTTAAATATCTCAACTATGGATCATTCCTTATGAGTTTTTGATTTTTTCATTCAACACCATCATCTTACAAGAGGGAGCAAGAAATAGAGAAAAAGAGAGAGAGAGAGAGAGAGCATCATATGAATAGTTTATCAACGCAGAGGGCAATTTGAGCCTGAAAACCAATTCTAATGATAGGTTAACATGGAAAGACCACATGAGATCCAATGTTGCTACATCAACTCTCAAGATTCAAGATTATAAGAGACTTAGAATTGAGCTTCACCTACACATAACAAGTTAACCAATGTACACAAACTTGGAATTGGCCACCACCTAATCCATATTTTTCACGCAATAACTCAAGAAGCAAAGCAGAAATCTATTAGCAAAAACAATAATTCTAAGCATCATATTGATACGAAATTTGACATCATTTTTATTGATCCATTAAATCCAAAGGGAGCTCACAAGTAATATGCAGTCAAAAACCACAAGATCAAAAGCAATGATCATCTAAGTTCTCATGTGTGGGTGAAGTAGAGACATGGGGAGGAAGTAGTTGCCGAATTAGACTAAAGCTGAACTCATTGGACACAAAACAAAGTTTCTTATGATCATACGTTTCTTCTGTACATCAATAAAGTTAATGTGGGACAGAATGAGTTTTAGCAAATTATTTTGATTCAAATACACTGGTGATTCTACAGAGTAATCCCAAACTATTCTTGGACAAGACCACAGTAAGTATAGAGATAGATGGATAGATAGATAGATAGAGAGAGAGAGAGAGAGAGAGAAAGAGAGCACCCTGGATATATGAAATGAAACATGTAATCAAATGTTCAGATTATGAGAAGATCTAAGAGTATGTTTACAGTGGGAGGGCATTCATTTCATGTCAACAGGAACAGTTTCTTTGATTAATATTCGAAGAAATATTACATATAAAGCATGATTACTTTATCAGAAGGTGTTGGACTAATAGAAAAAACTATTAGACTATCACAAAGTTCTGATTCATTTTTAGATCAAAACTTGTCTTTACCATTCTAATTATGAGTATTAATGCAAAAAACCATAAGTATGAGATGTTGTATTGATCCCAAACACAATAATGTGCCTCTTCACTGGCTTCATCAGCAAAGCATGGAACTTGTCAGCCTTGACCTCAACAGTGACTTGTTCATCATTTACTTGCCTGAAATGATGTGGCTTTCAACATTAGCTACATGACTAGTTTTTGGTCATTTGCATTTAAGTTCCTACATGATGAATTCCTCTTCTTATCACTATTTATAATTGACATGGATATGTGTGGATTTATTATATATGGACCTAATGGGGCATTGATAAGATATAAATAATTGATAATTAAGAGGCTCTTTATTTTTATGTTACATTAGTGATAGGGCTAATAATATACCACCCAGTAGAGACTTTACATGTGCATGCCAACCTATCATAAAGTGATCGGATCTGTCATATCACTATGAACCACAATGGAAAATATTCTTCGAATTAGAGATTATTTAGAAAATATTTTCTAACCGATTTCAATTAAAGATACGAGACTATAAATATAAATAAAGGTCCCATCGATCGTTACATATGTTCTTCTCTATTCTCTCAACTTTATATATTTTATCTTAAGATGTTTACTCAGGTTGAGTATCGATTAATTTGATTATCAAAGGGACTATATCGTCTTGATATTTTTAGGTTTGGTTGAATAATTTTTGAAATTTGGATTGATGATCGGCTTCTGCACTAATATATAGTCTATCTTTTCAGTTCTTCTCAAAAAACAGATCGAGAAAAAAATAAAATTCTTAACATAAGAAATGAAGAATAATCTAATTAAGAAATTCAAATAGTCACATGAAAATTTGAATTAGTAGATGGTAATAATATCATATAACCTCTCTATTTATAGAAAATGAGTATATTAGATAATGATGAGACTTAGCAAATATCTTAAAATGCAGAAGCTAATATGTAAACAATCCTCATGAAACAATGGGAAATGAGGGAAGCATAATAGGTGATGGTGGCACATCGAATTGCCCTCAGTCTTGTATGTGCAGTGTCATAATGGTTTCACATATGTGGGTGAGGGTGGTTGATGATGATGATGACAGTGTTATGACTGAGAGGAACCTCCAACCAATGATGGCACCTCTGAAGGATTCCAACCCCAAAAAGCATGCAGGACTGGAAAAACTGAGTCAGAAAAGGCCAGTGCCTTGACATCTCTGTCACAATTATGAAACAGAAAAAACATTGTATTAGATGGATTAGTCTGTGCACTTTTTCTTTAATAATTCTCCTGAAATCTTTCCACCCACTCATCTTTCATCTCATGCTTATGATTGAGGAAGTATTAAGCAGTGGGAAATGTTGTTGGGTTGACTGAATCATCCCATGCAGTCCTCTGGAGTGAAGTGATCCTTCACAGAAATCATTCAAAGATCCTACATATCATGTCTAATAAATCTTTATAATTATAAATATTTTAAGGATACTGTCAATTAGATGGGGTGACATAAGAATTTGTTGGTGACTTAGCTGACCAAGTTAGATTACCTAACTTGAGTAAAAGTAAGAGTACCTAACCAAGTTAGATTCCCATATTGGAGAAGGATGAATCATGGGCTTGTAATAAATAGCATGCAGTTTTAGGTTTGATCATGGTCCAACACAATTCTTATGCTTCCAATTATGTTGCATTAAATGTGGAAGCTCAACCCATTTCAAACTTTAGATTTAAGATACAAGACAGCCCCTTCAAAAGAAATATCACAAAAGCCAACTCCACACTTCAAAAATTTCTGCTTCATCAATCTTTGTTGACAAGGGAAGAAAATGGAATGCAGCAATCAGAGAGAAGGCAAACAGGCTTTCTGGCAAAACAAGGAGAGTAGGACCTATTGTGAGTCATGTCAGTTGCCTTCTTCTTCTTCTGCTAAGACATCCAGTTAGAGATGTGCCCACCATTATAGGCACTGGCAAAGAGTTTAATGACCTTGAGAGTAGTTAGTAACAATCCTGTCCACTAAACACCCTTGATTTGGACAAGGGAACCACCCTACTTTGTTGGGGTTTACATTTCCTTCAGTTTGAGTAGCTTATAAGCAAGACACCTCTAAATTTGTGTCCACAATCCAGTCATGAGTTGTTGGAGGATGATGTAGTTAAGCAGTCAATCAGAAGAATCAGCATTACAGAAACTTTTGATGAACTCACATATCATAGATAATCTTTTGAAGATTGGTCACAGAGTGAACATTTTGTTTTTGTAGGTTGATCCTTTCTTATTGCCCTTCAGGAGTTGATTCAGAGGTACAACTTCTACAACTTATAATGGTTCTTACCCTTTGTTCATGTCATACACTGATCAAACTACTACTTACCAGGTACCATGTTAAAGATGTATTAGACATAGTGACACATCATTGATTGCATTCAGCTCAGTAACCACATGCTCCAAACACAAGGGAAAGAGATCTAGCATATGGTGCTGGCTTTCCGTCTTTGGAGTAGCTTGAAATAGCAACCTTCTGTGGGACTCTAGTGTTGCAATTTTGTATTGAGAAAAGAAGGCCAACCAAACTGTTTCTCGAGTGCCCATAGCTGTCTTCAGAAGGCTTTCTACTGAAGCAAAGTTGGTTTGGGGCCATGGAGTGAGAAAGTGGTCATTTTCTTCCTCATCAATCCAGAAGAGTGTTATAAAACACCCTGTACCTAATAGAAAAAGTTGAAAAGGAGCAGGATCAAAAGGATCTCAATCCTTGCAAGGAAGAACCAGATGCCATGTTTATCGAATGAGAAAGAAACAAGCATACCTTGGAGGACTGAGGCAGTTTCTCTGTGGTGAATTGTGTTCCGAGTTCAAGCCATGTCTCCCTTTTCTCCTGTAGCTGAATGATCTTTGCTAGTGAGTTGGTTCCTAAAACCTTCCAAGGTAGTAACCATATAGCTTGTTTTTACCGATCTATGTTCTTACTAAAATGAAGATCTCAGCAAGTTTGTGTTATCATTATGGGGAAATAGTTTGTTCAAGTTTCTTCTGTATTTTTCAAAATTTTCTTAAGATGTAGTTCAATGGATCATGGAAAACATCAATTACATTTCTCATTTAGTTTTGCTAATCTACTTAGTGCAGTGTTTGAATAATCTAGAATTATCAGTATACTGTTTTAAGAAACTATCTTACTTATAACTTCTGAAAAATGTATATTCTGAGAATGTGAGGAGGGACAAAAGATTGCCATTTGGTTAGCCTTGAAAGTTGAGTAAAACTGGTTAAACTCCAAAGTAATCAAGCTTCTATTACATAATCTATTATAAAATTTCTAAAGCTTTCTTCGTTTGCTTTTGGGAATACTACTTAAATAACAGTACAGCTAAACATGACTGCAGAAAGGTTCTCATTGTGCAAAAAATCTTTAGTCACTTTCCTCCAAAAGAAGTGCTTTTATAGTGACAAACTGGAAATGAAAAGTTTAGAACAGGGCAGCAGGTAAACTCAATTATTGTCTGAATAATGGAATAACAAAAGTACCAGCAGGTGTAAATGTACTTGTAATTTCAATCGATGAAAGTACATGGTTGCAATCCTCAAGTCCAATAGCATTACATCTTTCTTTTAGTTTATGAGTAAACAGATTATGGTCATACACTCTTCAACAATGTCCAAAGAAGAACTGATGTTGTTTTCCTTCACTGAATCTTGGATTTGGAAGTTTAGGAATCCATAATTGTAGTCGTTTAAAAGAAGAGAGGACTCCACCTCCAGCTTTTCTTGGATGTGGATAAAGCTTTTACATTAACTTGATTAGAACAGAAAATGATTTGCGGAAATGCAAAGAAAGATGTGAAGCTCTGCCAAAATTTGGTTTGGTTCTAATAGTGATATGCTAAATTTCTTTGAACAAAATGTTAAGGCTGGAAAACATAGATTGCTGAGATGTAATGCTTGAGAATAGTGGAAGCAGACATTCTTCTTAGAAGCATTGATTAAACAACTGCTTGCACATGACATTTTACTCAAAGAAAAGTTGGAATGTGGCTTAGAGAAAGAAGAAAACAAGTATGTAAGTTTAAAATGCTCTGATCTTGTATAATGTATCTCTATTACTCAACCATCACTTCCATATCCATAAAGGAGACAATTGTCTGATAATAGACAAAAAAACATGATTAATCAGAACTGTCATATTCATATTGATTCCTTTTGCAGCCAAATTTGATGTTCTTTGGAGGATGGACACACAATTGATTTGAACGTTCTTATATGGAATGAAGATCTAGGATACTACTATCATTACACCATCTGAAAACTTACTTGTCTCATGCATTTCAGGCACTTCTGTGGTTCAGCCACTAATGACAAGGAGATGGGCAAGAAAGGGAGTTGGTTTTCTGCTATCAAAAGAGCCTTCACTTCAAGCTCCAAGGATAAATTTGTTGACTCAAAAATTCCAACCCAAGTAAGTTGAACAAAAGTTTCCCCCAGCATGAGAACCTGCAAGCATTAATTACTTTAATTACTGTCTCAATAGGTCTACATAGAGAGAAATCTCAATTACTGAGATCAAATAGATTATCCATTAATTGTATGTGAATTCATATAAAGGTATTATCCTGGCAACCCAAAGAATGCTTTTGCAGAACAGAACAATTCTAGAGAAATTTCAGCTACACTGACGCAACAAAAGAAAACAACACTACTTAATCTGACAATTCCAAAACAATATCTTATTTTTTATGAGAATCTATGTTGGAATAGAAACTCAAAATGTTATGGAGAGTATGATTATGTTAACTTCAAATATATATATATATATATATATATATATATATATATATATATATATATATATATATATATATATATATATATATATATA